AAATTTTCTAAAACGAAATTTTGTGAAAAAATTTTTTAATGAGTACGTAGACTTTAAAAAAAAAAATTTCCGCTAACTTATCTATTTTGATATAGGATTAAAAATGAATATTTTAAGATAAAAATATAAATTAAATATTTATTTATTTTTTGACGAATGACTACATTTATAAATACAATCTGCTACATTTATTTTGTCATTTTAAAAATCAAGAGGGAAAAAAAAGAAACTACAATTTTAAATTAAAATTATACTTTGGTAATTGAAACTTTGTTTTAATAGTTAATGTGTTCTTTAAATTCTCTATTTCATCTAGTCTTTAAATTTCAATCACGCATTGGTTTCAAAATGGTGTCTATGCATTCAAAGCTATGTATTATAATGAAAAATTGTTTTAGGTAGTTAGAGCTTCTAAAATATTGTTATAATATAGTTTTAACATTAATTTAATATTGATTAAACATTTAAAAAGTTTTTTTAGTCATAAATCAAAGTTCTTACAGTGTATTTGAATTTCAAAAAAAAAAAACTGATTTAAATCAAAAAAATCTGATTTTTTTTATTTTTAAAAAATGAAAAAAATCATGAAACCTAAAAATCATAAGCCAAAAATTTCAGATTTTTTAGTATTTCGTCTAAATATTAAGACATTAAATTCATTTACAAAGTGTTGAGGATGATCCAAAAACCCCATCCAATATATATTTTTATGGAAGAAATCGGCTTGTGATTTTTTAAAGCAAAATAAAAAAAAAAATTGTTTAGCAATATAGAGTACATTTAACATATGTCTTAGTTGTAATAATGTGAGAATATTTATTGACACACGATACTGGCATACTAAAACACTGAGGAAGTCTAAAAAGAGTAAATTGAAAATTGAGTATTAGATACATGTATTTTAAAACATTAATCAAATGACAAGATACACCCTTCAAAATATAAATAAGGAACAATAATGCTGAGCAGGTCCGACACAAATCTATATAATAGAGAAAATTTACTGGTTTATAAATAACTTGTAAAATTAATTTCTAAATTTTTTAATCTGAACTAAGAAAATGAAGGGGAGGGGTTATATCCAGTTAATCTTGGGGGTATTTTTTCGTCATAAGTGATTTCTTGGCTAAAACATTTGACTATAATAATTTACTATATCAACAATATTTTCAGCGGGGAAAAAACATTCAGCCAAATATAGGGGTTGACTAAATGAACTAGGATCAAATTTAATGGTCACAGACTAATGGACCACTATTGATTTTAAGCTCTGATAACCCTAAATGAGAAACAATTTCTACTTAAATTAATGAAACAGTCATAACTCCTAGGAATCCCTTGTAAATAAATTTGTTTCACACGATTATGCTTATATTGCCAAAAAAACAAATCCAGCTTTTTTTTTCTTTATATAGGGATGCAATTTTTTTTATTACTTTGGGGTAATAGAATTAAACAAATTAATGAGTGTAAATTTAATTACATATGCTGCAGCAATTTACTGTATTGCTTTAAAATTATTTGACTTTACAGGTAGAAGCAACTAAACTGAAAAATAAATATCACTTTAACTACAATTTTTTAGATAATATGTTTTCCCTTAAATTATTCCTTCTTATTCAAGAAATAAAACATACTTGTAGCAAATTTTTAACAAAAAATAATAATAAATACAAAGAAAAGGTCTCTTTAACACATATAAATTAAAAAAAAAAAATAGGCACTTTAATATTCGATCTACCACTTGCTAAACCATAATATTTTTTACTAAACACCAATCGATAGAAAAAATGTTTTTATAAAAAAAATTTCGTCAAATTACAAAGTTGCACAGAAGATTCTTTAATTTAAGGTAAGCTTAAACCTAAGCTATCTACCAAAAACATGTATGTTCATGTATAAACATAACTTGTCCACAAGTCATGTATAAACATAACTTGTCCATTGGCTATCATTTACACAGGATTTACACATAAGTACATTCATATTCATCAGATACATGCATGCATATACACTCATATATTGCCTAACCTCGAAAAGAAATTTTATTTACTAAAAACCGTGGAAAAAACAATTTAGGTGCTTATAATATCCAGAAGACAAATCTGGATGCTGCATAAAATTTCCATCTTGCAAACATAAAGATACTATTCATTCCAAAAGTGGTATGATATTAATAGTTTTAAATGGGAAATGGTTTCATAATTAAAATTGAGCAACACAACCATTAAATGACACAAAAATCAAACTATCTGCTAAAACAATAAAAATTTTTATGAAAACCATGACATGAATAAACATATTTTTAACAAAATACTATTGCTTATAATATTCTTTAAAAGCACGCTTTAGAGCTTGATTCAAAAGAGGTATATTATTTTTCGTTTAACGCACAATAAAACAAAACAAATAGTGCGTTTCAGCTAAAATAATCCAGCTTTACATTATCTTACTTGAGAAATAAAGTAAAATTGTGAAAATAAGACATGCAGCATCGAGAAAAAGGTTTATTTCACTTTTTTTTTGCATTTTATTACCTATGTATGTTTACACAAAAAAATTAAAAAACATTGTAGATATTTAATACAGCCTATAATTTTATCATTTACTACATGCAGATTGAAATAAAAATACATTAAATTTAAAGGATAACAACCAGGATAAAAAATAATATTCCGCTTGACATATATCTCACATGTAAGCAGGTACTATATTAACGTTGCACTAGAGCTGCACAATGGGCCATTGGCGATGGTCTGGAAAACATCCCTGAGGATGATCCGAAGACATGCTATCGCAATTGAGATCTCCTGCTTTGGTAGCCTGATGCTGCACACGAAGTTGAGCACTTTACGGCAAACAGTTTAATGAGGACAGATACTGTGCACCCTTGGTCCCTACACAGGCTGATTAAAGTGGCCACCAATCTACTTACTGACCGCAATCAGTAATGCTTGACTTCGGTGCTCTACTGGGGCCAGTGTCTTTAAGATCAGTCCACTGCGGGACTGGGGATATTTCCGTATACAAACTTGCAATTTAAAAAAAAACAAAAACTTGAAGATATTTGCCCAGGGGATGCAACAAGTTAGACATTGAATTAGTCCCTTTCTGTGATGTTTCTTTTAGTTTCTCGCGGGATGCTGCCCGGAAGTTTCCATGACTTGGCGATCATTTTGCCACATATCAGTATACAGAAATCTCCCCGCAGGACTATATCTCACATGTTAACAAGTTAAGCACTAAATTTTCTTTTAATTTTAAAAAGTCCTTTTAGGAGCATAAAAAAATACCATTTTACTATTTACAAAGTGAAACTAGAAATAAAAATGTATTTCAATGGAAATAATTCCATTTCATTATCTGCCACACCAGCTACACTCGCCTAATGGATACTAAACTTGCAAATTTAAAAAAAAACATGCAGAAGTTTACCAGTCGGTGGTTACCAATTAAACCAGTCAAGTTATTTTTTTTTCTGTGATGTTTCTCACAGGACTGCCTGGAAGTCCCACGACATGATCATTCTGTCTCCGATCACGATGCGGAAATCTTCTCATTTAATTTATGGGGTAATAAACAGGGTAGGTATACAATAACATTTTGATTTTGTTAGATAGTTTACACATACTCGATAACAAGTAAAATCAAGAAAAAAACTAGATTAATATAAAGTTTGATTATATACAGCTCAACAATAGTTAACATAGTGCATTTATAAACGAGATGAATCCTATTACATATTTTTTTTCATAACTCATGTTTAAAAAAAAAAAAAAATGGGAGAAAAATACTCTGATCTCGGGAATTTAACACTGAACTCAATTTCATTGATAAATAGTTCTTGTTCACGACATGGTAGGTAAATAATAATGAAAACTGCAAGTGCAACATGACCTTTGGTTTATATATTCATAGACCAAAATTATCTAAAATGTGTACTAATATATAGTTAATGAAATTGTAATATTCTCGACAACTCAAGTTACTTGACACGATCTATAACAACCGCAGTTTAAAGTATGAAAAAATTTATGGCAGTACAGGCAAAAAATAACAAAATTTTTAAGCATAGATATGATCGTGATACGTATGTTTGTAAATCAAAAATTATTTCAAATGTGAGTAAAAATAAAACAAATTCAATTGTATCACTCTCGATACTCATATTAATTTGTTGTTGATACGATTGCAACAACTGTGGTTCTATGCAGAAAAAACAATGTAAAAATTATTTATGACATAATGGACAAATATAGTAAAGTGGGATAGCTCTGTATCATGATCTGTCCCACCAATTATAATCGTTAAGATGCCAAAAGGATTGTAAACCTGAAATTTTTTTAAAAAGAAAAGGCATGTATAGGTTTGCATGGTTGGCGGCTACGAGTTGTACACGAGTTGGTCCCTTTCTTTAATGTATCTTTTTAGTTTCTTGCAGACCGCTGCCCGGAAGTCGTTAAGACTTGGTGATTATTTTGCTGCAGATCACGATACAGAAATCTTTCTTAGTAATGTATTCTTTAAGACATGCATGCATTAAGATACAAGCATGATCATAGATACGCACATAGATCAAAATTTATAAACAAATATGTGTGTGTAAACAATACCTGTAACATTCTCAATACCCCAATTGCTTAAGATTTGCTTGTGACGACTAAAGTTTTACACATATAAAAAATTGTTTACGGCACAGTTTAAGATATGATTTTTAAAATCTAAACAGTTTGTCAAAAATTATCCGAAGTATGCAAAAATCAAGCAAACACAATTGTAAGGTTTTCGAAACACCCAATTTTTAAAGACAGTTACAACTACATATTAAAAGAATTTTTAAATCCTGGCTGGGAAGAAAAAACTAAATTTTTTATAAGATATGAATTTTTTTATAAGATATGATTTTTGATAAGCGAACTTTAAAATCAAAACTTGCATTAAAAAACAAACAAGGGAGTTAAAACTTAAATCCTAATTTATGATTATAATTTTGTACTTACTTGTCCCATTTGCATTTCTAGATAGAAGTCGCCCCGCAGAAAGAGGTGTACTAGGACTTGAAAGTCCGCCACTAGTTCCCGAAATTTGAATGTCCGATGAATTAGAAGGAGAAGATGAATCTAAAAGCTCCCGAACTGCCATCTAAGTACCATCGAAAAAAATAAAAGAAAGCGTCCGAGGCGGCAATGCCCGGTTTAACGTTCAGTATACAAAAAGCGCGACACATGTACGACGGTAAACAAAGTACTATCCGTCTGGTAATAGTTTTTCCACTAACCCTACTTTGTCGGAAGCACAGTTGTCATATTTACGTCCACTAAAGTACTGACAAATAACCGACAATGTCCATTTAACACGTCCACAGGCAGGGCACATCGTCCAGTTGACATCAGGAACCAGTCAAGTAAATACACAACCGGACACCCCAGTGAAGACAGCTCAGATCAGCTGATGTTGATTGAAGAAGTCATCGAATTTAAATTTCGTTTACATGTATACAACACACACTGATCGAGTGATTTTATTAAATATTTGTCGAAATAAATCAGCATAGAGAACGGAACATGAAGCATCACAGTCCGTTGAATGCTGGATCGGATGCTAGTAACGGTACAGAGCTCAGGGAGGGAAGGGTTAAACAAGAAAAAGCCACGATTTTGAGGAGCGTGATTCTATGTTGTCACTCTTTACGCCAACCTCGTGCGTCTGCTAAAGCTTTCGACTCCGTAACTTAACCTCGTCACCGTGTGCTTCACTAGAGGGCGCTATTTTAAAGCCTCGCGCTAACGAGATATTTTCATTTGCATCTTTTTAACATTGCAAATTAGATGAAAATTAAAATTTACGCCACCTAAGCCAATCACGTAAATTAATCTTAAGCTCCTAGTTAATGAGGATACCCGACACATAAGTCACAAAATAAACAGTCGCTTACATATATGTTACAACTTAAAGGCGACTTAATAATAACAATTTTTGTCGTGAAATTAAAAGAATTTAAAATATTGCGTCACGATTTCCAGAAATAAATGGGTATGGGAGTCACAATATTATGATAATTTTTTTAAAATTTAAATGATATGTCATAAATAATTTGTAAAAATTTTTTTTTACCAAAACAATTGCAATATTTAGAGTTCTCAAATAAAATTTTTGTAACGGTAACAAACAGAAATTATAAAAAATATTTTTTAGGGAAAAATTTAAAAAATTACTCATATTTTAAAAAAGTCATACTTATTTTCCTTTTTCTTAGTTTATGATTCTCTCCAAACGATTTTGAAGTTTTCTTTGGGGTTCCATTCACTAAAAAATTTAGAGAATTTTCAGAGGCCAATCAAAGTAATAAAAATCTATATGAATAGTAATTTATAATAAAAAAAATTGGTCGACAAATTTCATTAAAGAGAAAAAAAATTTTAGCTTATAAAAAAAAATGGAATAAACAATTTTAGAAAAAAACATTGTATTAAGTAATAGTTTGTAATATGCTCTACAAAAAGCTATTAAATAACTTATTTTTCGTTTTAAAACTTAACTAATGAACTGTAATGATAGTTATAATAATAAATGTAAATAAAGTCACTATGCACTCTCTATTTAAAGAAGCGGATAAAAAACACAAAAATATACTAAACATACATATTAAATAAATAAGAGAGCAATCTTGGTGGAATATCAAGAATAGTTACAATACATCGCTAAGTTTTTCAGCTAAATAGATACTTATATTAAAAAAAAGGTTAAAAAATTATTTTATTCAAACTTAAAGTACATCAAGATATTTAGTTTCAAATCTATGCAAATTAATACAATTGGGTAATACTATAAATAACAGTAGAATGCTAGCTTAAGAAAATACTTAAGCAGTTGATACAGGGAAGAATATATGAACAGTATAGAAAATAATAAGAAAAAAAAAAAGAGTATCCAAAACGTCAATCGCCAGTCACTTATGAGATGAAAGTTTTCCTTATCAAACGCGAAAGCTTTTCAGAATTTATCTCTTAATAATTAAACCTAGAACAATCATTTGAATAAATTAAATTACTATTAACATGCATAAATGGTCATTTTTTAAAGTATGAAAGAAAAACGAACTGCAACCTGATGAACTTCGAATTTGAGGATCCAATTCGAATTATATTTATAATGAAAAAATTAAGCAAGTTAGCTGAAAAAAGTTATCATCATTGGATTGAAGTTCAACTTAATGTTATCTAAATGCAGAATACCTACCCCTCCCTCCCTCCTGAGGCATAAAATGTTACGACTGATCTGCAATGCGTGTTTGGTAAACATGTTAACTGTCAGTCAACAAACACACACCAAGTGTAACTGACATGTTAATTGCCCGGACAAAAGAGCATAAACAAAAATTACATTTCCCACTTTGAATCCTTAAATATATTCATCTGAATTTTCTAAATAGCAGCACACAAAAAATTAAAATTCTAAGAAAAATATTTTTTTCTTTTTACATTGTTATAAGTTAATATTGGTATAAATGTAGTTAACTATCTACAATAACTAGCGTCGAAAAATGAGTCAAAAAATTTTCATGACATTATCTTTGATATAAATCTCAAGTAGATTTATTAAAAGATATTAATTGGTTGATACATAGATTTCTAAATAACATTATTTAGAGCAGTAATTTCCAACCTTTACATACATGAGGACCACTGGCTGCCTTGCCAAATAATGGCGAACCACAAACACTAAAATGTATGAAAATCTGTATGGGTCTAGGCCAACTGACTTAATTAAATAAGGTGAATATTACAGTTGTATTGGCTTTTTTTTTTTTTTTTTTTTTTTTTTTTTTTTNTTTTTTTTTTTTTTTTTTTTTTTTACATACTTATAAAAAAAGTAAAAATACAATAATGAGTAAAATAATGCATGGAATATAAAAATAGGAAAAATAGTATTTTCGAAAGTTTCTGATGTAAAACTCAGTAGGTGGCAGCCATTTACGTGAAGTTTCCTAATTCTTCATGGAATATATTTAATAAAGAAATAATTTCATTTAATTATATTATTTACGAAGCTTATTTTTAAGCATTTACAAGGCACGTTGATCGTACCATACACCAGTTTTTCCCAAACTTATGACTTTTGTGTACGCTATCTAAATTTTTCGTAGCGCTGTGTACCACTAATAAAAAAATGAATGTATTTTTTTAAAAATATGTTTATTTTTCTTTTTTGTAACAAACTTTTGTTAATAAATTTATTTGCATCAGTGAAAAGGATGATATTGTTTTTGCTGTGATAAAAAAAATTTGCATAACTGGCTGCTGACACCACTGATTGTTAACTGTTAACTCAGCAAAAAATAGCCAATACAAAAATACGTAATCGTAAATTTTCGTGGCTAGCTTTGTTTTGAAATAAAATTTTTTGAAATTTTTTCGTTTGTTGTTAAAATATTTCGAATACGAAAGCGTACCCCCGCTGAACTGTTCCCGCACCCCTGGGGGTACGCGTACCACACTTTGGGAAACACTGCCATACACCATTAAATAAGAAATTTGAATGTTTTTTTTGTTTTTTTTCCGTATGCCGTAATTTTAATATTTCGCGAACTACAGGTTAGGAATCTGATTTAGAGTGTTCATGTGATCTTAGTAAATAGAGTGAAATTAAATAACAAATCGCCTTAAAAAATTTTTTTAGAAAAAAATATAACCATAAAACAGCATTTGGCTAAAAGGTTATAAGAATATAAATATTTAGTAAATGAAAAAAAAAAAGCATACAGGATTTTTCCTTTAATAGCATAATTTCGGATGACAATTTATGAAATTTTTAATTTGATAAAATATGAATTGTAAATTGGCTTAAATTACGGTATTAAAATATTTCACCACGAACATTTACGTCATATATTCAAGAAACGAAAAATAAATAAAATAATAAATAACTAATTAACAAGCGAAAATTATTTGCATATTACTGGAAGTAAGAATTTTTTTTTAAAATTGCTTAATAACAAGATGGAATTTTTAAAAAATAAATATTGCATGCTCTTAGAGAAAATAAATAAATTGCAAGGAAAGTTCAAAGGTCGAGGTCCGTATTGAGCATGTAAGATATTCATATCTTCTTGAGCAACATCCATTTCAGTTCAACTTTCGACTAAAGTTCAAAGCCATCAAATATTTTTTTTTTTGGATAGGATAAATAGTAAAGGGTTCCAAGCAGGAAACAGTCGGGGTTAGAAAACGGGTGGCAGGTGAGGGGGGTTCTTTTTGCAAAGTACTGTAGGAGGTCAAAAACCCCCTATCGTCTAAGGTATAGCATCTTGAAGAATTTATACTTGATTGATTAGTGTTAATATTTAAATCTTGATGATAAAATGTCGATTGTTGAACCCCAAGCTCCAGGTTTAAATATTGTTTGGAACGTTTGAATAAAATTAGTTTAGTGGAATTTTATCGTTTTATATATATATANTATATATATATATATATATATATATAAAAGTCTGGGTAAATAAATAATTTCAACAGTATAAGTTTTAAAAAGTAAAATTGTTTAAATATGTCAATAAAAAATTAAAAAGTTTAGAAATTAAAAAACCAGAATGATTTTCATTTTATTACAATAAAAAAGTATTTAATACATGATAGATAATGCCTCCGAGTAAATAAGTTAGATTTTTATAAATTACAATTAATCATATCAATTTTCTTTATAGTTTTATTATTCAATTTTTAATCCTTTAAAAAAATCGTCCACTTGGTCAAATAGTAGTTATGATGTTTACACACATAAATGCTTGAGTTAGATGGAATTAGTATATATATAAAAAAAATTAGGCAATGATTAAAACTTATGATAAATAAGACATGCATTTAAAGAGCATAATATGCATTCAAAATGTGTACTTAGGCAATCAGATTGTTGTCAGATACTAAAAAAGTGATCAGCTGCGGACATTTCCAAATAGACATCAACAGTTGATAAAATTAACATTTTAACCCTTTCGGCCGCACCGGGATATATATGTCACCAATAGACATGTGTCCAGTCTAAACAACCCCGGCTAGACACATATGTCCCAGCCCCACCCCCACCCCATCAATAGTCCAAATAATTGATTATTTTATTTTTGCAGAATATTGTTATCTTTACCTTATTTGATCTATCCAAGTCGTAATTTGTCTTTTTTATTGTAGAAGAAAAAACTGGTTCTGAAAGGGTTTTTAACTAGAGAGAGTGAAAGGCTGGAGAAGCAAATCTATAAAAATATAGCGAGTATGAACATAATCCTATAAAACACCTTCCAATGGAAAAAATCAGCTTTTTTTTTTGGTAATTAAGCGAAAACAAATGTCAGAATTCTATTTTTTTCAAGCATTTATTCTGCTTAAATTTTTATTATTCGGCGGATTTAAATTTGCCAATTATTTTTAATTTTAACATTAACAGCAGCAGCAATTAATTTTGAGAAATGTCACTCGCGATTTAATCAATGTAAACATTGTTAAAATCGAAATTAATTCCTGTCAAGCGATATACCTACATTACTTTGGAGCAAGTACTTTATCTAAAATTGTATTAGTATTTTTATTTATCTAAATGTTTTTTTCCCCCTTCGAATTTGTGAATTTCTTTAAAGATATTAAAAGTTAAAAATCATTAATATCGATATAAGCGATTTCGAAAACTATTAAAGCATTGAGCCTTTAACAAAATATATCTGAAGGCATTGGGCAATACAGTGATAAGCAACACCTTTTCCAAAGATTAAATTTTTTCCTTAAACCATTCTTTGGTGTTGTTTCCAGATAGGTGCTTTAAAAATTCTTTTAGATAACAGCACAATACACATCAATAACTTATTGTCTAATTGGAAATCGTTATGCTTTTCCTCCAAAACTCTAACAATTTAAAAATGTTACTTATTACTATACCACCTTTTGCCCATTAATCATACTTTATATATCCAACTTTTAAGTAAAATATTACACCTTCAACTACCGTGACTTTGAATAGTTAAAGATTTTTTTGAAGTTTAACAAAAGGAAATAACTTTTATTAAATATGAACAATCGAAAAGCTTATTTAAATAAGATTATTTAAGTTCA